ATGCTCTAAAGAAGTTGGGGATTTGATCATTTCTATGAAGAATAATAAAAGGGAAGGACACTCTATAGAGAACTTCTATTATCTTTACTCTATAACCTTGGCAAAAAAAGCAATGAGAGAGTGTCTCATATTATTCTTGAATGTTATGTCCTCTTTTTGTAAATACATGATCACTGGGTAAATCACAAATATAAATTTTGATCGGTGATGCCTTCTGAAAAAATAACCAAACTTCTAATGCTTAGTGTATTCTACATGCTTTTCTGTAGGAACTATTATAGAAGTGACTTAGGAACGTAGGAGACAAGTGAATTGGTTTATAGCCACAGAAATTTCTGAGTACAATTTACAATAATATTTAATAGAAAGAAATGTTCAGATCCAGGATGATAATTGGGAATCCACTGCAAAGATAATCCCATCTAATCTTTGTCAACAGAGTCCCTTCAAAACCTTTACCAAAGATGTAAATAAGTAGTAAAATTGACCCATACAAACTGAATTGCCTTCATATTTCAAGTGTTAGCATAAGGATATGGCTAAAAGATAGACCCAAAACACAGATACTAGGTTTAATTTGAAGTATCGTTCACTCTAAGTATACTATATAGATAGTAGCTGTACTAGCCAGGGGGAGGATTTAATAATACCGGTAACTGTTGAACCAATGTGCTGTATACTTGAAACTAAGATTGTCTATAATATAAGGTTGTGTATCAACTATACTTCAATTTTTAAAAAGTATGCCATATGGATAAGTGCTTAAGACTCTGGTGAATTTGGAAAGACATTTTTAACTTAGTAATTCTAAATGCTTGGTCAAATATCATTAAGGAGTAGATGGAAATAAACATCTATTTAATTGCTTGCTTTCACAGGAAAAATTCCAAGAAGTTAATATGTGTGTGCTTGTTTTTTAATTTCCATCTCCAAGCTCCCAAAGGAGCAAGTATTGACAACCAGAGCTTCTGGTTCCAAGAACATGTTACAGATTCATTCTCATGAGGTAGGTTTGTCTCTGCATTACGTGGAATGCAGAGGTGGAAATCTGGGCACCAAGTAGTTAAATGAACTTCTCCAAGTCACCCTAGAAATGATTAACAGCAAAACCAAGGTAAAAGCCCAAGACTTTTTACTGGTCTGTATTGATACCTTTATTCCAAATTTTTTTTTACTATCAACCTGACACTAAGATGATGAACAAGGGTAAAACCAATACACGGTTACTTGGATCTGTCTCTGATTTTCAGAATGGAATGAGACGTGAGAAGGAAACTATGACTGTTTACAGCTTTGTGTCACAAATATCAGCAGCATTAACTTTAGCTAATACAAATCTGTAATGTTCAATATTTTTCCTCTGATAACTGATGGCTTGGCTCCTCTCCTCTCAAACCATTCTTACTCTATTAATAGAAGAAAGGGGCTTTCCTTTGACCATAAGTAAAGATCTCTGAGGACTCCTGCTGCAGTTCAGAAAACTGTATTGCTGACTCACACTAAACTTTTTAATGGTCTTGGAGTAACTCCAATACAAAGGAAAACAAAAATCAAGGTGGAGTTTACAAGAATAATACAAAGCTGTGTACAAGGATGAAAACTGGAAATACAACCTGAAAGTTATAAAAGTATTAATAAAATTCTAATATTATTTCCTTTTTAGTTGCTTGAAAGTTTTTAAAAAGAATCTAACCAATGCTGTGGTTTGTTACTTCATAAGGCAAGCTCTTATATCTGTATTTCACAGATAAAGGGGAGTCTTTATAATCCCTCTGAGTATAGCTTTGCTATAGTTCAGGTTGATCTGAGGTGTCTCTTTTCTTACTGTAAGTGAAACAATAAATATACTAATGATAAAATGTTTGTTATAAACATTTGTTATGACATGAAAGATACACATGCATACCAGATTTTACAATTTAACCCATTCCTTACTCCTTTTCCCATTTTGTGGGAAAGGCTATAGTGACAGAGTAGCAGTTTTCAAGAGATACCAGAGAACTATTTCTACATGTCTCCAGAGAGAACAGAACAATTGTGGTGGGTACTGAAGGACAAAAGATTCTTGGCTTTACTGTTCTCTTTTTTTTGTTCTACGAAGCCACCATCTTAAAAAGTTGTTTTAAGAAGTATCATCAACTGAAAAGCATTGAGAAGTAAAACAAAGTGCAGTAATCTCAGGTTGACAACCCTATGAACTCAGCCTTCAAAATAAATATTTGAGACAACATGAACCAAATCATCCATATTGGTACATTCAGGTGCCATAAAAAGCAAGCTACATGCAACATTTCATTAATACTGAGGTTAAAGAATAACAGGCTACGCATCCGAGCTGCATTGTGAAGAGACTGCATTCTCATATTTACTTCAGGGAAGCCTTAAAAATCAACATGCAAACAGAGAGCATATACTTGTCACAATAAAACTTTAGCTCACAAGGCCATAGATCAAAAACATTGATTCCAACACAAATGTAGAATAAACAGGTCTGAAGTCTGTCAAGAAAACAAATTATATCAATACACATTATTAGTTTATCATAATGGCTAAATATTGCTTGTAGCAATAATTATTTAACTCATAAAGAAGTGATAACAATATTTTAATTTAGAGAAGAGTATGTTTATGTAAGGTTCTTGAATAAATCTGTACTCCAGGGCAGAGGAGTCTGGGAAATTCAGCCCTGGATGGAGGCTAAGGGGCACCAGCACCATTTTCCTTAAACCATCAACATTCTACTTGTGAAAAGATGGCATTTAACCTTTGCAGATCTTTTCTGTACACCAGGCAGGATAAAGTTGTTTGTCCCTGTACATCTCAGAAATATACATAAGAAGGCTGCAAAAGTCAAAAGCCCTTTTCAGAAAGAGGCCTTTGTATATACTGGTTTGATATCTCAAGAAAAGGAGTGGTTATGGATTCATAGATTAAAATGTATTATTTTAAGGCTTCTGAAAGGTTAGCAAATTGAGTTTTTTTCTTAAATTACAGAGCCCATGCCACACAAATGACTATAGAAGATTAGGAAAATATTCCATCGAATGTTTCTACAGAGTATCCTGCTTTGTGTGAAACACTGGAGAGGAGAGCTTAGGAACAGTAAGAACATGCAGGATAGAAGAGTTAATGCTTTTGGGGGAAGTACCAACCTGCCATATGCTTAAATTTGATTTGGTTTAAAATTGTTAAACTTCAGTGAGAAAAGCTGGCTTGGGCAATCCATTGCTACTCCTTTGTACCCCACAATACATATTCTACAAAGAATAACACTTTATTGACAGAAAAATGATCACAAGAGCTCCCCTAGGACAGTGAACTATCAAGATCAGAGGGCATAATACAGGAGGTACACAGTAGAAGCCAGTGACAAAAGTTCAATGGTTTTAGTCTTGACATTTCAGATGAGCACCCTGTTTGCCGATCACAGAAAGACCAACCACCAAACAGCCAATGCAAGAACCAAAAGAAAAGACATCATGAAAGGAATACGAGGAGATGGAAAAGTACTAGAGTAGAGGCGACACTTTTTGAGAGACTTGTGGTCCTCAGGGATTGGAATAGAAACCTTGGGAAGAATTTCTTCATTTTCTTGCTGGGGCAAGGCTCTCTCAGTAGATCTCTCTTGCCTTTTAATTTTCTCTTCATCCTGCACTAACAGAGCACGTTCCTGTGTCTGCTTTCATGGTAGAAGATCAAGAAAGACAGAGAAAGATGAACAAAATGACAGATGGAAAATGCTCAAAAATGATACTTGGGGATGTGCAAAGGATTTGGGAAGATCTTTTGGATGTTCTTTATTTTACTTTACTTTGGCAATTTATCCTGGCAAAGTTTCTGTAAAAATATCAATAGATATTTAATTCTGTAAATTTTCAATAGGTAATTTTTTGAATGAACAAACATTAGAAGTCCTGAAAGTTCAAGAAATCACTGGACTTCCTCTGTTACAGTTTTTATCCCTCCTTTAAGGTACTCACATATGAATTTTGGGTCATTTTTCAGTGTTTTAGTGCTGCCAATTTTTCTTAGATCAGTTGGGCAAAGCCAATAATGAAGCATTCTTCTTGCCATCAGAAAAGTTTTTATTACAAATAGAATGGCAGAATATAAAAAGTAATCCTCATATCTCTTTATATAGACTTAGAAAACTGTTAACAGTTCATTCAGTATAGCAATTAGCTTTTGCTCAAGGGAATAAAAATCTTAATCCTATACATTTTAAAGACTGCAAAAGAAAAACAGGTATAAAAGTTATATGTGCCTCCAAGGTCTTCCAAAAACAAAAAATCTCCATAATTGCAAAATCCCTTCCCCTTCTCAGAATCATGATTAAACAAAAAAACAATCATCAATAAGGTTTATAGATCACATTAAGCAAATACTTTTGACACTTTTAAGGGAAGTTATTTTTTTCCAATTGCCCAATTGAGAAGTTTTTCTTCCCCCACAATTCCCATACTCTGCCATCCAGTCAAGACAGATGTGATTTATGAAAGGAAAAATTTGGCTCGAAGTTCTCTCAGTTGAGCCAGCCTTCTCTGATCAGTTTGGAAGTTCGACACTGGTTCTTTGCACACCCCTAAGTGATATGTATCAGGGAGAAAGTAGCTGGGGAACTGGTCAGCAAAAGAGAAAAAAGGAAAAGAAAGGATGCAAAATTATAATGATTTTAAAAATGAAATAAAGAGGGAGAAGAAAGACAACATAAAAAGAACAGGGTACAATTAAATTCATTTCTCTCTGAATACATAGTTACATCTTCATGCAGCTTTTCAACCAGCCATGCGCTGAAATAAGCAAATTGAAAGCTGCAAACGCTGCAGCAGTGGAAATGCTATGTGTTAGGTCAAAAGGCAGTGGGTGTGAATATACTAGTATAGCCAAAAGAAAAAAAAATTACTCAGCAGCTGCTGTTCATTTCTGGGGGGATTATCTGCGTAGTGCCATGACAAGAGCAAATTCTGATTGAAAAGCACAAGTCATAACAGCAGCTTTACCTCTGGCCCACCAACCTTTCTTTCCGAGGGAAGGATAGAGGTTTTCTTCACCTGGTCATACACAAATTATATAAAATTCAGTTGCCTTGCAATGCAACAACAATGCTGTCAAAGGTTGGAAGAGGCATCCCCAGAAAATGCAAATATTGTCCTAATTATTAAAGAAAAAGTAAGATATGCCAAAGTGGAGTACCCTATATAAAAGGTTATCACAATACAGTTCTTATTTATTTCATTGTTTATTTAGAGGGGTAATAAACAAAGCATAGAACTAAAGTTGCTCAAGTAACTCCCCACTGAGTTTATTTAATTTATAAAAAGTCGTTTCTTTAAAGTCCACAGAATGACATAGCCATTCCCAATCAGCCCTGAGATGATTTCTGAAGGGTTTCCACTAAGATACAAGATATTTTCTGGAAATGGAGACTGATTCAAATTTACCAAACCTTTTGAGTAAGTTACTTTTTCAAAGTAGTTTAGCATCTTTTATTACTTCCATAGAGTCAAAGAAAAAACTTCTAGAAAATATGCAGTTACGGTTTGTAGACATTTAACCAGGTCAGATGGCAACTAGGCATTTTCTCCTGGAGTCTAAAAATGTAGAAAGCAGAGTCAGTGTCTCAGTTCAGGGTACATTCTCTAGGCTTAGAATACAAAACTGATGCCCACTTTTATAAGGGAAGGAAGGCTAAGGACAGAACAAAGGGACAATTGCACCCCATCATCCCTGGTAACTCTATTTAGCTACCCATCATTCAGGAATTCCCCAGCCTTACTTGGTGAAATTGGTTCAACTCTATCTGGAGAACGGTTAGCCAATTAATCACATTTTGAAAAATAAAAAGGCACACTTGTAAGCCAACTTTTATCATCTTCTCCAGTTCCAGAAAGTAAATAAGTTGGATAGCTTATAATGAATTCTGAATATAAAAACAAGCTTTTAAAAAATTATCAAGACAGCACTACCTTTCTTAACTAGAATTGTTATTGCTTTTGGGGAAAAGCAAGCACATAATTTAAAAATCATTACAGTCACTCACTGAGTCACTGTGACTATATATAAATATTTAACTCATATAGGCTAATAATTAAGTAAAGAATTTTCAAATATCAGTTAAAGGGATCTCAACATATCCTCATTACAAAGATTCATTTATTTACATGTAGGATTTCTAAAATAGGCAATGACAACAATTATAGCCCCTGGAAAGTGTCTCTGGCTTCTTCTAATCATGGTTTTGTTACAAAACTTAGCATGTTAAAATTTTGATGCTACTCATAAAGACAAAATAAATCATCAGTAGTTTTTCTAAAACTGAAATATAATAATTACTACTTGGTATTCCACATTCTCTGGCTTTAGGGCCTCCTTGCTTTATTATATAATTGTGGTCAACCATTCCAGACATTTCTAAGTTGTAGAAATGTTCAAATGAAGTTTTAGAAAAATGTTTATCCTGTTCCAATTTTGACCTTACTAAATTTAGTAGACTCTCTGGTCTTTGGAGGCACAGTTTGAACATAAAGTTCCACTGGCTTATGGTCAATTTGTAAACACACACTAGACAGAAGTATGCAGCTGCAGAGACAGTGCTCAGAGCTCAGCTGTCTACTAATAGCTCTAAATGGCTCATATAATTAACTGAGTAGCCCATGTTACTTAAGAAACAAGTGTTTGATTATGAATGCCTTAAAGCTATGACAAATTGGTGAAATTAGCATCAAAGCTATATTTCAGCTCTACACTTTCTTTCCCCTACATAACATTAATATACAAAAACATTAATTTCATTCATTCTCACAATTAGTCACAAGGACAAAGTACTCACTCCTTCTCCTGTGGGGATTTGCCCATTGATGTTAAGTGTTCGGAAGGGAGAGTGAGTGGATAAGCGCTTATCCCATTCACTAGGGCGTGGTTCTGGTACAGATTCCATGAAGTTCTTTTTCAGCTCACTGATGCTAGCATGATGTTTCTTGATCTCTTCTTGACTTTTGTCTAAATCCTACAGTTGAAAGGACAAAGATGCAAAACAATAAATACTCAGGTTAAAAAAACACACCAAGGGAAGCCCATCAAACTATGACAGACACTGGTAGAAAACACACCACATCCAGGACAGATGTTACTAATCCATAAATTGCATTCAAATTGTAAATACACACAGGTATATTTGCTTACTTTTTTCTTTTTAACAAGGTGCTTTTCTTGGAAGCAGTGAAGCATCATAACCCCACAGTTCCTAGCAGTTAATATAACCCATAAAAGAGCTCACTCCTTAGTTTTACAACTTTCCTTCCCATTATGACACAGCACTAGATCTCCAACTCCTCATCTTAAGAAGGTAACCCCACAGTCTCAGCTTGATATAAACTGATTTAGGCTCAGCTCAGGCAGGATGGAGATAGCAATAGATAAGCAGAAACTGTTAAATGAAGGACATGGTGAAAGATCCACCTTCCACAACTGGCTGCTTTCTTTGGTGAGTTGCAACTGTATAGTATCCCTCTATTTCTACCTGGAGATAGTTTTGCTTGCTCATTACCAGGTGGCTATTGTTGGTTTTTGATAAACAGGAATAGTACTTTCTTGATATAAAAATTTACTACTAAAAGTTCCCGGCTCAAGCCTCCAGAGCAAATTGTTAACTACCTCTGAAAAATCACTCAGGATATGGAACATAATGGCTTTTTTTCTTTGCCAATATTATTCACAAAAACTAAAAGCCTCATACTTTTAAGCTTCTGACAGCTTTAGTTCATGTCTTAGTGAGTTCAAAATAGGGACCTTCTTCCAGTAATTTTCAATGGATTGGCAGCAATTTAATAAAAGTTCATATCAAATACTTTATATACCTCCTTGATAATTTAAATAAACTGTTCCATCAGATTTCAATACTAGACAACAGGGGTAAGCTCTTAAAGGGGATATTCCAGGAAGAAATAATAAAAGCTAAGATTAATGAAGCCAGAAATAATATTCAGGCTTAGGTAATAGGAGATATACAAAGCTTTCAAAAGGGAGACTTGGCCAGAAATGAAATGGAATTAAATGTGAAACCTGATGACAAAACCTCAAATGTTCTTTTCTCCAACTTCTCTGAAAAACTAAAAAAATCTATGCTTGAGATCAAAATATCTGGGAGCCCATCACTTGATGAATGCTAGATATTCTGTGTTTATTATATGTTACAAGAGCTCTGTATCCAAGAAAAGCATAATATTGAGTATATCTCCTAATATGACATGTGAATTTTGGGATTAGTCTTTCTTCTCTTTTTGGCTTTGTGGGAAACAGCCTCATTTTGAAAAAAAGAAAAGAAAAATTCAGAACTCATCTAAACAAACATGTATTAAAAAAGTTTTTTTCTGGAGCGAAATATGCTTCAAATAAATACATTTTTTTCCAAAAGCAATGTCAAGGGGAAAATAGCATATGTAAAAGGATTGGTGAGGCACATGATACAATTCTGATTCTGGAGATATTCATTTAGAAAACTCATTCAATAGTCTATTCTTTTTATTTTTGCAAGTCTGAAACATGTATATTTGCTTTTAGATCAATCAAAGAGAAAACTAATCCAAGAAGGGCAATACTGTAGCTCCCACGTAAGAATATCTCTGCTTGTTGGGATAAAATGTAAGGATAGCTCATGAATATGGGCTTCACTATGGGGAAACAACAGTTTGCACTTTTGTTTTAGCTGAAAGAAAGAAAAGTACGTTTCCTAGCTAAAGAAAAGCATATACAAGCTCCGCCTGATGCAGCTTTGGACTGAGCAACTGAGCCCCAACAGGCTCGTACAGCCTTGAGACCCAGCTCCTAACTGGAATTAAATCTGCTTTGTTCAAGAACAACTTAACACATCTGGGAGAGTTAAAAGTGTGAATGGAGCAAAACAAAAATAAGAAGTGCTATGGAAAGCCGTAATTCTCTGGTTTAGCATCTTAATATGAGAGTGGTAATTTGTTACTCTTCTTGCCTAGTTTTTGATGGGCCAGGGACCTGAGAAAATAAGTGTTGCAATAAAATCAGTAGCTTCTGAGGAAGCTTTCTCCATCCTTCTTAGCTGGCTCTGTTGGAAACCTGTGGGGGCACAGAGTAAAATTAAGATCTCAAAGGGACCTGTTCCAAATAGAATTTGTCACAGACACTTGTTACAGGTTCTCTCTGGGAGATGGAGGAGGAGGCGGTAGATCTAAAAATGAACTCGACCTTATTTGGCCAGAACAAAGCATTAGTGGGGGTGGGGGCGGGGTAGGGGTAGGGGGAGGAGGACGGTTTAAAAAAAAAAAAAGATCAACTTGCTAGAGTGACAGGTAATTTGAGAGAACTTCCTTAGGGGGAAAAGAACTCTTTACAACAGCTAGAAAATGATAGCCAAATTACCTGGCTGTTTTCAAGTTAGACACTTTTTGATGCCTATCATCTTATAATTTTAGCAGCAATCAAACCAAACACTTCATTAAATATATAATGTTCTCAAAAGGTAGTTAGTAGTTTTAATTTTCAAACACACACTTATTTAGAAATCCCCTCTCATGACTGTCAAATGAAATGCTGGGAGTTTCCTAGCTAAAGAAAAGCATATACAAGCTCCGCCTGATGCAGCTTTGGACTGAGCAACTGAGCCCCAACAGGCTCGTACAGCCTTGAGACCCAGCTCCTAACTGGAATTAAATCTGCTTTGTTCAAGAACAACTTAACACATCTGGGAGAGTTAAAAGTGTGAATGGAGCAAAACAAAAATAAGAAGTGCTATGGAAAGCCGTAATTCTCTGGTTTAGCATCTTAATATGAGAGTGGTAATTTGTTACTCTTCTTGCCTAGTTTTTGATGGGCCAGGGACCTGAGAAAATAAGTGTTGCAATAAAATCAGTAGCTTCTGAGGAAGCTTTCTCCATCCTTCTTAGCTGGCTCTGTTGGAAACCTGTGGGGGCACAGAGTAAAATTAAGATCTCAAAGGGACCTGTTCCAAATAGAAGTTGTCACAGACACTTGTTACAGGTTCTCTCTGGGAGATGGAGGAGGAGGCGGTAGATCTAAAAATGAACTCGACCTTATTTGGCCAGAACAAAGCATTAGTGGGGGTGGGGGCGGGGTAGGGGTAGGGGGAGGAGGACGGTTTAAAAAAAAAAAAAGATCAACTTGCTAGAGTGACAGGTAATTTGAGAGAACTTCCTTAGGGGGAAAAGAACTCTTTACAACAGCTAGAAAATGATAGCCAAATTACCTGGCTGTTTTCAAGTTAGACACTTTTTGATGCCTATCATCTTATAATTTTAGCAGCAATCAAACCAAACACTTCATTAAATATATAATGTTCTCAAAAGGTAGTTAGTAGTTTTAATTTTCAAACACACACTTATTTAGAAATCCCCTCTCATGACTGTCAAATGAAATGCTGGGAAAAAACACATCACACACAGGGACTTTGTGAGTCTCAGAAGCCATAACACACCTCATGGAACAAATGGTAAATATATGATTGGTACTACACATTCCAGTTAAAAGGAAGCACTAAAGATGGACTACTCAAAAATAGGCACGTTTGAAATTGGAAGATGTTACATTGCTCAGCACCAGGTAATCAACTGACATCTGTTATTATTCCTAATCGCAGAAGCTGAAGTTCTCATTCAGGTCTAGTTTCAGTTATGGGCTAAAGCAAAGAAATCTAGTTGCCAAGTTTGAAATACTCTAGGATCCAGCCTTGGAAAACCTCGTGTTTCATGAGGTAAATGTATGTAAAGCGCTTGGCCCTGGGCTCACCACACAGTACTTGATTAATGAAGGTTAGCCCTAATTTTTATTACTTTTATCAAAGTACCTTATACATAGCAGGCACTCAAAACATACGTTTTGCGAAAGGATAAAATGAGATTAAGTAATTATTAGAGGCCATTGTATTAAACCAAAGATCTGAAAAAGTTTCTTCAAACTTCAAGCTTAGTATTTACCACATTCAATATATGTTCATCTTTCAGGTCTCAGCTAAAATGCCATCTGTTCAGAAAGAGCTTCCCTGTCCATCTTATTCTGAGAAGATCCCTTTTATTAGCACAGCATATGGTTTAGTTCCTTCACAGCTTTTATAACTTGTAATCATTTTATTGCTATTTGTCTACTTGTTTCTTATTTCTCTCCTCTCCACTTCTCCACACTGTAAGCCTCCTGAAGGCAGGAGCCATTTTTATCATCTTCCTATATTTTTATATTTCCTTTAAGTTAAATCCCCAAATACTGGAGTTTATATGCCCATTTCTTTTGGCTCTGAGTGGAACTGCAAGATAATCTAGTCATCAACTTTTACATGAGTTTTTCTGACGTGTAGACTAATGTGGCCTCAGTTTTCTCCACACAGAATAATTCCAGTTTCCTTGTTTTTCCTCACAGAGTTCTCCTCACGTTTTAATTAGTTTTATATTTCCCTATCCAGGGTGGAGCCCAACTAGATAAAGTAGACTAATGTTAAGTCTGGTAAAAATCTCACCAGTGTTAAATATAATGGGAAATGATCTTAAAGTTGATAAAGCAGACAATACGTTGCTCTTCCTGAATGGAAAAGAGTGTAGCTTAATAGAGTTTGATACTCCCTGAAACATATCCTAGCTTTACCAATTTACCAGGTTTGTGACCACGGAGAAATTACCTAATTTCTTTACACCTCAATTTTCTCATCTTTAAAATAAAATAATCCTATACCCACAGACATAGTTTTATGACTAGACTATCTTATATCATACTCATTAAAACTACTCATTAAATGCTAGGCTTCCTTCTTTCCTTCTGTATTTTTTCCCCCTGATTGCCTTTCTGTCATTTTCTGGCATCCCCAATATTTTAGGTCCATTTTGAACTGTGGTGATTTCTTCTACTTTCCCATACTCTCTCAGCTCAGAAGATAAAAAAATGGTACTAATTTGGGATATATAGAGTTTATACTCTTAGACAACTCAAGGAATTTTTAACAATGATGTAGAATTTTCTAAAAGTGGGTAAAACAATGGAACCACAAGAGGCAGAGTTAGTCCCAATCATATATTTTTTAGGTAAGTGTAAGAGATGGAAACTAAAAAGAGTCAGGAGAGATGGTTGCATACCTTCATGTTTACCAACATGCAAAACCCTTTTTAAACCTAAAATTTTCTCATGCAATGGCATGCAAAACCAAACCAGCACAGAAAGAAGAAAGGGGATCAGCAAAGAATTCAGAACACAGGCAATCAACTTAAATAAGCTTCAAGTTCATACAAACCTCCAACATTAAATTGCTATGTCTGATATAAATGTTTTCACCATCTAGTCTCTCTCTCTTTTTCTGTGAAAATGAAAGAGGGAAAAACAGAAAAGCATAAAAAATTAAAATGTTGTTCTTGCGGGAAAAAAAAGGCAAATTGGAAAACCAAAAAAAAAATTAAAATTAAATGTTCACAGCACAGCATATGCCAACATGAAATGGTCGCAGAACTACAAGGACACATAGAGACCATGATTATCACTAGCAAATGGATGACCTTGTTCATGAATGATGGACAAGTGTAATGATGTTATTTAAATAGACAGTGCTCCTAGTTTCATTGGCTCCTTACATAACAAGCTCTTTTATGTTCATTTTTGAAATTGAGCTGTTTGACAGTTATCTTAAAATACATGACTTTAAGAAGCTTTGAAACTCCATGTTTTGTGGAATAAAGAAATGCTTTAAAACATTAGTTAGCTTTTTAGATATATTTGATACTTACAATGCTGCAGTATGTACATCTCTAATACTTTTCATAAGAAAGACCTAACGGTATTTAATACATGATCAGTCTATTCTAATCAGCAAGATGGATTCACCCCACTCCATTATGGGGAAGAATGAGGCACAGAGCAGTCAAACCCACAGTTATTAACAATATTGGGAATTGCTGCTATGATGGTTTCTACAAAAAATATGTATAAATTATTGCCAATGACTCCAAGAATATGGTGTCACTGGGAAATATTTCTTATAAAGTTTAAAGGATAGGTCTGACCATCGATAATCATTCCATTGTGTTTAAAAGGATATTTTCCTACTGGAAAGCTTATACTAATGAAATTTCTTAACATATAGTATAGGATTATAATTTCTTTGGTATACATATGTGTGTGCATATATGCATACATATATCAGCTATGGAGAGTAATTTCTGATTAAGAGAAATCAATGAAAAGAATGGATCACTGTCTTTTTAGTGCATCATAAAAGTCAGCATGGGTGATGGTAATGTAGTTTTGTGAACGTGAAAGATGGCTAACCTTCCTCATTCTTATCAGATCTTCAGTTTTTTCTGCAAGCTTCTGTTTTTGCCATTATTAAAAAAAGAAAAAAAAAGATAAAATATTGGCTCATTGAAGTTTGTTTGAACCTTTATTTTACAATTTTTTTTTTAAGGAGACTGGGATTGGGGAGAAGAAAAAACTGATGGTGAAGGGGGAAAGTAACAAGTGGCCTGTTGGCACAAACCTGTGTTTGGTCACCATTTGAGGTGGGTACTGTGACCTCGATGTGGGTTTTTTCCACCTACATTTAAGAAATAAAGTGGTAAAAACATTTCAAGTTAGTAGGTTTCTATGAATAGCATTGTTTCCAAGTAAGCTGCATCTTTAAGCTGGCATGAAATAAGCTGATATGTGATCACCATGATGCAGTCTTATTGTGGGTGTCACAATAAGGGAAGGACATATTTGCAACAGCAACCTGTTAGTTCACAATATTTTCAAGGCTGAACAGGTAATGTGGACAGCCAAATGATCAAAAAAGAAAGTTAAGATATTCTACTGATGGAGAAAAAATTTTTATACTTACTAATAAAAAAAGTACTTAGTAAAAATATAATTTAGGCTTTAATAAGCCATGTTTTTGTTTTGCTTTTTTAAAATGATCTAGAATTATTTTAACTTCTAAAAACAAATTTACAAACAAAGGTATCAATGTATGACATACATATAGTTAGAAACAAAAAAAATCTTCACAGTTAAAGCACACACATAATAAATCACATATGACACCAAGCAGGTAAATAGAAAAAAATTTTGTTAGTTGATCAATACACTTAAGGAGTCAGTGACCCTTCAGTTTATTAGACAACAAACATCAACATAAACTCAATCCAAATTGTTACTGACACATGCAATTAATTCCGAGGCTGATTTATAAATAAGCACACATAGGGCTCAGCTGCAACATTTAACGGCAATCTCCTCCATTGGGAACTGGAACCTGTGTTTGGTGGATGGGCAAGATTCATCCTTAATAGAACAGAATGAAGAGAGTAACATCCTACCTTTGAAACACCTTTAGTAATAGTCTTTTATACAACCCAAATGGAGCAAGTATAAATTTTAAAAACCCAGATAGGTGATTAAGAGGAAGCATAATAGAGTGAGCAATGCCTAAAGCACTGCGTTTTCAAAATTAGGAAACTGTTTTTATTAAGGGTCAAATCAGTCACTTTGTCTCATTAAGTTCTTTACAGGACCTCATCAGTCTGTGGTTTTGACATTTTTTTAAAATCACACTTGGCCACATTACCGTAGACTACAAGGTCACTGTGATATTTTCTCTAGGACTGAACGTAAAGATAACACCAAACTTCATGACACTGTTAAATCATAAGAACATCCAGATACAGCACTTTTAACTACCAGGACTAATTGAAAATACGGATCATTTCTACTCTGAATCCAAATACACTTGCTTTATGGCCATTAGCAAGTTATTTCACCTGAGTTTAGGGTGTTTTTTTCTTACAAAACGGAGATAATATCTTCATAAGACTGTGAACACTTTGTGAATGATAGTTTTAAATTATTTTTAAAGCTTAAAATTACTGTTTAAATGAAAAAAGTGACTTTTTGCTTTGGATCCTTAGCCATCCAACAGCAAGAAATTTTGAGCCTCTACTTTAGTCTAAGAAGGAAGGCCAAGTAGCAACAGTGGCTCTGAGTATGGCCCCCACTCCCCACCATAGACATTAAATGAGATAAAGATGTACTTGGGGGAAAGGTATTATGTCTACACTTGCAAAATAGGTCTTGTCCAATGACTCAAGATGCCAAAAGGCTATCTCTAGCTGCCACCAAATTAGTATTAGATAATGACATTTATAGTTGCAAAGATACTTTATTACTACTATTGCTTTCTATAATAAATATGGCTTTGGGTAAATTCCCTAATTATTTTCTGCTACAAATAAACTCAGAGTCACCCTTAATTCTATCACTACTATTAAAGTAATAGAAGGTTATCAGAGGTGGCTTTCAGTCTAATCATAACTCAAGTATCTCAAAACATATATTTATACACAATTAAATTTACTGGCACTTAAATGGGGTGCATATACCAGGAAGTGATCTCTCCACTCTGCCAAGGGCCCAGGAGCAAAGGGAACCTATTCTTGAAGATACCCGTGTCTACCCTATAGGCAAAAGAACAAGTAAGTTAGCAGAAAGCCAAAGGAATCTTAGCCACTCAGAAGTATTCCCTTGCTAGCTCCAGTAATCCAACAATTTCTAGTTAGTATAACAAATAGTCCAAGTGCCAGCTAAGATATCCTAACATTGAAAACTGAGGTAATCTAACATTCAAAAGTTACTTTTGATACTGAAACTGGTGGCCAATATCATACACATTTGACTAGGTAAAAAAAACACAAACACCCACCATTCACTCCACTTTTTTCTCTCTCTAGACTCAAGTGTCTCAGAGGACAGTAAAAAACTGTGTGTTATATTGAACAGGTTTTCAAGAAATATAGTCAAAACAGAGCCAGATTGACCACAGTTCTATAGATAAACTAGATACTGAACTGGCTCCAAAAGAATAGGATTAATGTATCTGCCAAGGCAAGAGCACTTACTAAGGTCTTATATGGTTTTAAATTTCTTAACAGACATATGGAAATGTAATTTTTCTCAAAAAGACTGCTTCTATTAATTCCTGTTGTCAACACTGAGCCTAGTATTTACTTCAATAAATCTGAACTAACACCTCAACTCCATCACTGGTTAAATGTGTTTAAAAAGCCTATTAACACATAAATGATCAGTCCAGTTACTGTTACTTGGGAAATCTGCCAATTAAATTGGTGATTTTCAACAAGGTTCAGTGATTGTGGGTACAATAAACTCAGAGTTGTAAGCAAATGAGTAGCATACTTCTACACAATGGATCTTTCCCCTTTTGTAAAGTTAGTTAAGATTTGAACAAGCACATATATGTAATATCCAGATATTCCTAGGATATGTTGCAAATATATCCATTTTAGGAAATCAAGCTGTATTTTAATCATATTAGCAGAGCTTACTCTTAAAAAGGAATGTGGAGATTCCTTTTGGATGAGTAAAAATTATTTTTAAAAGCAGATGTCATGGTGTTGTTGTGTTTTATAGATTCATTTTTTTAGATATAAGTTTAAGTTGGCTAAAAGTGTGGGTGACCTGAAAAACTTCAGGGATAGCTTACAATCTTCATGACATAATTCTATGAAACTATTTTACAGATTCATGGGAGATAGCTTTTCTTAGAAAGAGTGAGGAAGAGATAACTTCATTAGGATTCTACAAGAATAAAGGCTTTGAAAGCCTTCCTGGTCAAGGAGTTAATATTTCTGAATCAGAAAGTGAATAAGCTGGGTATTTGGACTTATGACATACCTTCCACACTTCTGTGGGCTCAGCCTGCTCAGGTGGTACTTCTTCCCCTTCCACAGCAACCCTCTCTGTTTCCTTCTGAGCTTTAGAACCTGTGCCACTGCTTTCTGTGACCTGACTCTGAGCAATGGCTGGTGCAGAGGTGGGCCTCGGACTTCTGTCTGCTGAATCAACAGCTGCTGCTTTGTGAGAAAGGGAAAAGGGAAGAATAAGTGAAGGCACATGTCACTGTACTACCTCAAAGTCACCAGGTTAAACAACTGAATTCAGACACATATGAGTGTTACAGTGCCCAGAGGGCTATTACAGAGAAGGCAAATAAATAAATAAATAAATCTTTCATGCTCTGCCAGGCAGCTGATGGCAATAAGAAATCTAAAAGTATCCTTAATAGAAAAACAAAATTGTGCTGAAAATTGTGTTCTATAAAGAAGGGAAGGGGCATGGATATCACAGTAAAAAACTGAAAACTCATTTTATTAAAAAGTTACACACGATGATACAAGAATAAAGATGGCAGTGTGAGAGGTGAGACAGAGACCTCCTCCTAAAACCACGTATAATACAAAAATATAATTAATACAACTAATCCTGAAAGAGCAACAGGAAAGAAGGCTGCGCCAGACTGCATAAACCTGGAGGAAAGAACAGACCTCACAGAAGAGGGTAACATACCAAAGCCGAGACCTAGTGGGACTCAAGCCCTTTCCCCACCCCAGCTCACTGGCGGGAGGAAGAGAAACAGACCTGGAAGGAGTGGAGGTCTGGGACTATTGAACACCTAGCCCTGGAGATCTGCTCTGGAGCACAAACCTACATTGCATGGTGCTCTGGTGATTAGTGGGGTTGGAAAGCTAAGACAGGCAGAACACCTGGAGAGGCTGAGACTCCAGCTGCTTGAGGAAAACAGGGATTCATATCCAGCTGATCTGGGTGGGCAGTCTGAGAGACTTCCTAAAAGTGAGAGGGCTGCTAAAGGGGCAGGGATTGCACAGACCTTACTGATCAGGAGAAAGGACAGGTAGACAAAATTGTCCAGGTGCACTCAGCCCAGCAGGTTGGAAACTTCCATGATCTTTAGTTGTTCCATTCCCCTGGGTGGCTACACAGCTCCAAGGCCCCCCACTGTGATTACCGCTTGCTGTGCCTTTCTCCTGGCCAGCCCACACCTGGCTTGCAAACTGGCAAACCCTGCTCTGGCATCAGGCAAGCCAGAGGGGAGCCCCGCCTACAGCAGCTACAAATGCAAAGCATAGAGGTCTACGCCTGTGTGTTCAGCCTAGCAGTGGTTCTAGCAGTGGAGACAGGCATAGCAGCCAGAAAGCAGGAAACAGCTCTTTCCTGCGCCCAGGCACCACACCACTCCCCTGTGACCCCCTACATTGCTCCAGGGACTGAGCAGCTACAGAGAGTAGAGCTTCTGGGCACTAAAGGGCACCACATACAAATATGAAACATTAAAGGAACCTGGTTCAAAGCAAAATCTCAACACAAGAAAAAGGATCGAGTGAGACTGAACTAATAAATCTTCCTGAAAGAGATTTCAAAATAAAAATCATAAACATGTTCCTGTAGGTATGGAAAAAATATTTAAGAACTCAGGAACGAATTTAGGATGGAGATCCAATCATTGAGGAACACAATGGAGGGTATTAAAAGCAGATTAGATACAACAGAGGAGATGATAAATGAAACAGAAATTAGAGAAGAGGAGTATAAAGAAGCTGAAGAATCACTTTGTTAGGATTCTACAAGAATCAAGGCTTTGAAAGCCTCCCTGGTCAAGGAGTTAACATTAATAGACTGCTTCTATTAGAGAAAAAGGGATCTCTAGGAATAAAAGAATACTGAGAGAACTGTGAGATCAATCCAAACAGAACAATATTCGTATTATAGGGGTACCAGAAGAAGATGAGAGAGAAATAGAGATAGAAAGTGTCTTTGAGGAAGTGATTGCTGAAAACTTCCCCAATCTGCGGAAGCAGTTAGTCTATCAGGCCAAACAGGTGCACAGATTTCCCAACACAAGGGACCCAAGGAAGACAACACCAAGACATATAACAATTAAAATGGCAAAGATCAAGGATAAGGACAGACTATTAAAAGTAGCCAGAGAGAGAAATAAGATTACATGCAAAGGAAAACCCATCAGGCTATCATCAGACTTCTCAGCAGAAACCTCACAGGCCAGAAGGAAGTGGCATGATATATTTAATGCAGTGAAGCAGAAGGGTCTCAAACTAAGAATACTCTATCCAGCAAGATTATCATTTAAATTTGAAGGAGGGATTAAGCAATTTCCAGATAAACAAAAGCTGAGAGAATTTACCTCCCACAAACCATCTCTACAGTATATGTTGGAGGGACTTCTACAGATGGAAGTGTGCCTAACATTAAAAAGGGTTAGACAAAGAGTACAGAATATGATACCTAATATATAAAGAATGGAAGAGGAAGAAAAGGAGAGGGAAAAAAAAGAACCTTTAGACTGTGTTTGTAATAGTATATTAAGTGAGTTAAGTTAGACTCTTAGATAGTAAGGAAGTTACCCTTGAACCTTTGGTAACCACAAATTGAAAACCTGCAATGGCAATGAGTACATACCTATCGATTATCACCCT